TCTCTCTCTCTCTCTCTCTCTCTCTCTCTCTCTCTCTCTCTCTCTCTCTCTCTCTCTCTCTCTCTCTCTCTCTCTCTCTCTCTCTCTTGCGCATGCACGGACGCATGCACACCAGGAAATGAGGTCGACCAACTTCATGGCCGTCGTTAAGTCCAGAAACGACCGGGCGCCACACCCTCTGCCCCTCCGCACCTGCTCTTAAGGCGCTGAGCTCCACCCCCGTGGTCAATCAGCGTGCGGTTACACAGCGAATCTTATGGTCAATTTTCTCTTATACAGCAGCATGCACCCTACTACATCCATGATATTTTATTAATTTTAGAGGCTTTTCGTATTCAACCAGATGAAAAGCATAAAATTGCCGAAGTCGGGAAACTCAAAGACTTTTTTTTTTTTTTTTTGTGCTCTCCATGGAAGTAGGCTAACGATGAATCAGGCTCTACAGCAGCAGTGTGAATACACCTTTGGGTGGAATCGCAGGCACAGCACAGCCCATAACCATTCTGCCCATAGCTGGCGGGAAAAATACATACTTTGCATGGAATGGCAGCGTGGCGCAGCCCCTCCCCCTTCTGTCTACAACTGCTCCTGTGATGACTCCAGTTTCCAGGTCTCATCAAGCTAGCCACAAAACCGGTAAAGTTCATGGCTAGCCATTGGCCAATAATTTGGCCCACTGCGGAAAACATTGTCAAATTTGCAATGACACCAATTTCCAGGTTTCGCCACGACCTCAGTGAAGTTTTTTTCTTTTTCGACCCGTGGCCCGATGGACCAGGGATCCGATATTAAAGTGATCAGTAGAAGAGATAATGCAGTGTCACGTGATCCATTTTTACTAATTTTTTTGCCAAAAAAAAGGCCAAGAACGGTATATGCAAAGTTGCACACCCAGTAAAGTTATAATGGAAGAAGAGGAAAACTTGAGGAGTTTGCTTGTTCATTGCAAACTGGCTGGCTTCCACTCTAATGATTTACTCCCAGAAGAAGGGCCACAACAATATTCCTTGTTTGTTTGTTTGTTTGTTCGTTTGTTTGTTTTTTTAAGTGGAAGCTGTATTCTACTATTTTCCTCATATGGGGGACAGTCTCCGCATATTTTCCTCATATGTTTGCCAGGTCCCCAGCTGGAACCTACCACGGTTATGGAGAGGAGCCCATCCTAACCACCTCTGCTTAGTGCAGGGAGCGGTAGCCTGGCCTCTCTAACACCTGGTGCGAGCGGGAATTTCAAAGAAACCCAACAAATTTCCCCACCCTGCCAGGAGGGACCAAGCTGATTATCTCCGCTGGTGAGCCCTACTATAAAAGAATGCCCTTTTGTTCACCCTTCTCAATGGAATCGGTGCAACAAACTTACGGCGAGCATGTGCACAGGGACAGAAGAACAATTAGCCACAGAGCTTACCTGCGACTGATTTGGCGACGGCTTCTATCTTGACCATTCAGGACTGGAGTTGCTGCAACTGATGGGGGTGTGGAATTGTCTCCATGACTTGCAAACGGTTGCCGTACGTGACTCGCAAAAGGTTGCACGACTCTTTTCTGCGAGAAATCAGGCTGATCTGGAAGTCCTCCATGCTATGGCGAAGGCAAAAACACCCAGAAGGCAAGGATATTTGTCAAGGCTGATAATGCACTGTCACATGCATATTGCAAGAAAATCATAACAATAACATTAGACGAGAAAAGAACATGTCCCTCCCTCCCACATCGAGCCGCCGAGCTAGCAGATCCAACACCTAATGCAAATCCGACAGTCCATTAGCCGAGTGGGAAAATCGCGACAGGGCTCCCACAGATAAGCTACACATAGCAAACAGGAGTCGTGGAAGTCTTACTAGCATCCAACTTCAAAAGTAAGTCAAGCAGGCTAACTTAGGCAGGGGTGAGGGGTGGTACATCGTCCTTCCCTTTGGAAGTAATCAATGTCGTCCACAAGGGCCTCCCAACTGTAACGGGGAGGAGCGTGACTGAGTTTCTTCTTTTGTAATCTCTTCTGAGTCCTGACTTGCTGGTGGAATAGGAACTGGACTGATGCTCCACAGAATGGAACGGAGCCAGAACCATAAGGTTCTGTTTTTGCCCAGCGAGGGGGGGGTTG